CTTAGATCCTTAGCCACCCATCTGTACTCATACCACAGCTTGCTCTTCTAGAGAGCTGCCAAAACTTCACAGGTGACAGCTGAGATGTCCGGGTTTTCTATCTGAATGTTCTTCTAAACACACAAGTTGCTTGCAGTTAATTAGATCTAAGCCAGCTGCACTCCCTGCTCTCCTTCCCCCCTCCCTGGCCGTGCTCTCACCTTCAGGGTCACAGACAGCTCTTCCTCTGTCAGCACCTCATCCCAGCCAAGCACGAAGGCCCCTTCCTCGCCCACCATCTCCAGCTGGCACAAGAAGTCCCACTGCTCTGCCACCAGCTGCTGCTGCGCTGGGCTGCTGGCACCTGTTGGGAGACAGCAGAGCTGCACCCCCCCGCCAGGGCAGAGAGGAGGCAGAAAACGAGGCGTGGCACCTGAAATGCTGCAGGAACAGGGGTTGTTTTTCACCTCACCCCCACTCCCTGCCCCATCCCCTGCAGGGGTTCCCCCTCAGTGACACTCACGCTGCAGCGCCGCCGCGCGCACCGTCACCATCTGGATGTCGGCGGTGTCGTGGCTGTTGCCGGGGTAGGGCTGGGCGAAGCCGTACATGTGCAGCAGCTGCCAGTTGGCCATCTGGCCGTAGGTGTTGAAGATCTCCTGGCCCTTCCCCACGGGCTGGGTGGTCACCATTCGCAGGCAGTGCTGCGGGCAGGGACAGGGGGACACGGGGTTTGAGAGCTCCCAGGACCCTCAGCTCCCACTAACAACTCCAGACATGCAGCAGGGCTTGAAATTAACAAGATCCAGGCTGTGACAGTGCCTGGGGCAGCAGCTTTGCACTCACAGGAGAGTACTCCAGGTTGGCATTGTGGTTGGCCACGTGATTCAGAATATCTGCTACAGGCACCATCATGGGAGGATTGGGCCCCTTCTCATCTTCATCTTCCTCCTCCAGAGGTTCCTGAAAGCTAGAAGGGAGATGGAGACAAGCCTGTGGTTCACGTGGCAGCACAAGGCAAGCTTCATCTTATACTCACATTCTCATGCCACTGCAGCCTTCAAGTAACAACAGCCTCTGATCTTCCCTACGATCCTGCCCCTTGTCCTTGCTCCTTGTCAGAGCAGAGCCCTCCCTTCTCACCTGTAGGCCATGACAAATGCCACCAGCTCCTTGTACAGTTCCAGCGTGTGCAGCTTGGGGTCGAAGACATCGGGGTGGGACTGCATGAAGGGGAGGATGATGGAGCTGTACTCCAGCTGGATGTTGGCTAGATCCTTGTCCACGGCCTCTGGAATGCCTGTGCCCTGCAGGAGCCTCGTTCGCTCTTCTTCAGGCCTGGTACAAGAAAAACAGAGGCTCTGCCTCAGGGAGAAGAGTTCACAGACTCCTTCCTCCTTCAAAGAGAGTCCCTCGGGCTCCTGGGCTGGAACAGAGGGCTGGGGTTGCCCAGCAGGACCAGATCCATGCCCAGCCCCTGCTCCAGCTGCCAGCCTGGGCCACCCCCAGCCCCGCCTGCTCCCCCCTTACCAGAACATGGGGTGATCCAGGCTGCGGAAATCCTGCCAGAGGGACAGGTAGGGCTGCCAGGGGGAGCTGCTGGCCGTGTACTCGTGCAGCAGGGCCAGCAGGAGAGGGACCCACCCGGACTGGCTCTGCAGGGACTCCTGGGCTGAGCAACCAGACACGGGGGGGGAAATGTAAGTTGATCTTGAGGTGTTTGGGTTTTTTTTCTCTCAAAGAACCAAAGCCTCAGTCCCACCTCCACCCTGCAGGCAGGAGTTCTGCCTGTACTCTGTCCTGAGCTGACAAGCTGCTGCTCTGGAGCTCTCCCAGGCCCCACTGCCCTGCCATCCTCAGCCTGAGCCTGGGGGTGCCTTCAGGAACCAAGGAACTGTTCTCTTCCCTGCCAGGACCTGCCCTGGCCTCCAGGAAAACAGAAGTGACGTGAACCTGTCACTCGGAAGTTGGAGATGATGGACTGTGGGGCTTTTCTCCCTGCCCGGCAGAGCTCCAGGCTCCTTTAGGGAACCCCTTTCCTGCCCGGTATCCAACAACCCTCCAGCAGGAGGCTTTATCCCAGACCCATTAATTCCTCTAAACAGCAAAGCAGACCCGAGCGCCACGAGAAGCTTGCGCTCACCTTCCTGCAGGAGGCTGTGGATGGAGGTGGTGTGCTGGGACAGCAGCGCCGAGCGAGGGATGGTGAACAGGACCTCTCCCGCCTCCAGCTGCTCCGCGGCCAACAGGCCGTACCCCGACACCGCTCCCTCCCTGCTCAGCCGCACCTGGGCCGGGACGGGAGCCGTGACGGCCGGGCCGGACACACCGGAGCGGCCCGGGGGAGAGCCCGGCCCGGCCCGCGCTGCCTCACCTTGGGGCTCAGCTCCACCCCGGCCCGCCCGCACCACGCCAGGAACGCGGGGAGGGGGTCGGCGCTGCCCTTCCCTCGGGAGCCGCTCCCGGCCGCCGCCTGCGGGTGGAAACAGGCTGTGAGGGGGGAGGAGCCGCGGAGCCCCCCAAGAGCCGGGGTGTCCCCCCGGGGGTTCCCAGAGCCCCCCAAGAGCCCCCCAGACCTTGAGCCTCTTGGGCGCCGACGCCATGACGGGCCCGGCACGTGGGTCCTCCCCACGTGGTGCCCCCGGGCCCTTCCGCGTGGGCGGGGCAGCCCCGCCCCCTCCCCGCGGGGCTGACGGTGGCCGCGGAGGGACAGAAAGGACCGGGAGGAGCGGGGACGGGAACGCGCCCGGCGGCCGCCCGAGTGAGGGGCTCGGGGGTTTCTCTGCTGGCTCTGGGGGGTCCATAGAACCTCCTGTGGGGTTAGGAGGCCTCCGAGCACCCCCTGAAGGGCCTGGGGTCCTTGTAGTGCCTCTCGGGGGGATCCAGGGGCCACCGCGTGCCTGTCTGCGGTGTCTGGGGTCGTTGTGGGGTCTCTCTGAGGGGCTCCTCAGGTTTCTCCCCCCCTCCGGTGCCTCCATCCCACCCCGAGGGGCTGCACGGCAGCGGGCTCTAATTAATCAGGGTAATTAGGCTCGTGCTCTTGTTCTGTCAGCACCATCCCCCTCCGCCCTGCCAGGGGCTCTGATCTCTCCTCCAGGGCCGTCCCGGGCTCTTCAGTCCCGTCCCCAGTGCCGGCAGGAGCGGGGCCGGTGCCATCGCCGGCTGCTCTAATTAAGCCAATTAGCGCGCACGAGGTGTTCGAAGAGGCCCCACGGGGCTCTCCGCGGGCTGTCCCGGGGGCTCCCCCACCCCACCAATCACCCCCAGCCCCTCCCGGGCTGGACTGGCAGGGGGGTCCCATCCTGCACTGTGGGGAGGAAGAGCAAGAGAATACGTGGGGTGGCCTTTGGGTGCCCCCCCGAGCTCACGGTTCCTCCGAGGGCTCCGTGTCTCTGCAACCCAACTCCTCGCAGCCGCCTCCCTCCGGCCTTACCCCGCTCCTGCAAAGGCGCTGCCGGAGCATCCCGCATCATCCTGCCCCCCTCCCTGCCAGCGCATCCCCGCGGCACCCGCATCTTCCCAGCGCGCATCCCTGTGCCGGATCAGCGCCCGCGGGATTCCCGGGAGCCGCGGGTTCAGCCCGGTGTGCTCTGGCAGCCTCGCTGCGGTGCTGTGGGGGCGGGAGAGGTCAAAGCGGGTCCCCACATGGCCCTTCCAAGCGCTGCAGCAAAGTGGGGTCCCCACTGCGTGTCATGGACATCCCCCCGAACCCAAAATGTGAGCCTGGATAGCTCAGTTGGGAGAGCATCAGACTTTTAATCTGAGGGTCCAGGGTTCAAGCCCCTGTTCAGGCGGTGGCTTTATCCTTTAGGAGAAAGAGAGGGGATCCTTCTCGGCAGGAAAAGCATCCCCTCCTACCGCTGGAGTCCCTGCTTCTTTTCCCACCACCATCTCCCCAAGGAACGTTCGAGCTCCACCTCATTCCCATCTGACACCCCCCTAGCACTGCTCTCTTCTTCCAGTCACCCAGGACTGCAAAGAGAGGGATCCCACACTGCCATGGCAGGACAGGCCAGGGTGTTACACATGAAAATAGTGAGAAATGCAATGGATGGAAGAGAGAGAGAGACACAGCAGAGCTGGAGGGACAGAAGCCAGGGACAGGAGGGCCACAGGTTCAGGTCCCCCCCAGCTGAGGGTGAGGAAAGCAACTTGGGGGATCCTGGGGCTGAGTGTGGTCTTGCCTTGTGGAGCTCTGCAATGCCCTGCACGGGCCTTTTGGCACACCCAGGTCCTCCCTGCACCTCTGGGGGTTGCTCTTCCCTATCCCCACTCCCCTCTGTGCCACCCCACCCCACCAGTTCCATTTGGGATCTGTGCCCACCCCAGCTCAGGCAGACGCTCCCAGGATCCCACCCCTGGTGCCGAGGATGCCATCCCTGGTGCCCTGGCCTTGGCAAAGCCGGGGGGAACAGTGGTGAGTTTTTCCAAGACGCTGCACCCCCATCGACCCACGAGCGTATTTTATTGTCCCGATGAACTTTGCTTCCCAGCGGCTCCGATCCTTCCACGCGCACGCGCCGCGGCTCGGGCCGAGCGCCGGCCCACGGCTCCCTCAGCGGTCATTTCTTGCCAGCAAGAAAACAAAGAGATAATAAATAGGAAGCTTATTTGTGGGGAGGGCCCAGGGGATGGCCTGGGGTCACGGGCCAGGCTGTGCCTGGCCCCGGCCGGGCCAGCGGGGGGGCTGCAGGCGGGACAGCCCGGCCTGGGCCATGCACTCTGCGGGGCCGGGCATCGCCAGCCCGGGGGGAACGGGGGGATATAGCAATTTCTATTTAATTACAGTAAAATAGACTATTTAAAAAAATTATTTCTAGTAGTTAAAAAAGTGTCGTGGTCCATCCCACCCCGGCAGGGTCAGGGAGCTGTCCTGGGGTTTGGGGACGAGCCGGACGGTGCAGGGATGGACCCAAGTCCGCTTCGCCCTCGGGAGGGCCCGTCCTGGGGGGGGTCTCTCACAGCGGGTGCCCGGGGGGGCTGGCAGGGTGGCCACCACGGGTGACAAAGCAGTGCTCCCCCCCAGACCCCGCAGCGGGGCCAGTCCCTCACCCTGGGGCCTTAAATGACGTGACAGCAGTTGAACTGCCCCAGCGAGAGGAGGCTCTCCTTGGAGCCCGGCCGCAGTTTGAAGGCCAGGGCTTTCTCGCAGAGCGGGATCTGCAGGAGCCTGTCCCGCAGGCTGCCCCCCTTGCCCTTGCCCGGGTCCAGCTTGATCACACTCTCCGCGCCCCCGTCGGTGCCTGAGCTCTCCACCGACTGCTGGGCGGGGCTGGTGGGAGCCCCCTGCCCTGGGGACGTGTCCGTGGGGCTCGAGAGGGAGGCAGGGGTCGTGTCTGCCCCCAGCACCTGGGCTGCGCCAGCAGAGCTGCTCTGGGGTGACAGGGCGGCTCCCCTTTCCTGGGGGGACTCTGCCGAGGAGCCCCCGGGCTGTGTGTCCTCCTCCCTGCTCGGGGGCTCAGCTCCACGCCCCCGCAGGCCCAGGAGCCCCCGGCCCCCGCTCGCCGCCTTCCCAGCCCAGGCTGCCCCCGAGCGCCCGGCCCGGCCCCCCAGCTCAGCCCCCGGCCCCCCCCAGACCTCCCCGCGGCCGGGCGGGCGGTGGGCGCGCAGGAAGGCTCTCATCTGCTCCTGGTTCAGAGAGCTGCTCTTCCTCTCCATGGCGCTGGGCCTCCCCTCCTCATCCTCCTCGTCCTCCTCCTCCTCCTCGCAGATCTGCTGCAGGGCCGGGGTGCTCTTGGTGATGGTGGTGTCGACGGCAGGGACCTTCAGCAGGGTCCCGGTGGGCTGCCGGCCACCCATGTCCCCTCCGGGGGGCAGCCGGGACCCCCCGGGCTCGGTGAAGGGCAGGAGGCTGCCGGCACCGCCCCCGGAGCCAAACGTGTCCGATAAGTTGGTCCTGAGGAAGGGGAGAGCAGGAGGGAAGGAGGTGTCGGTGCCCAGCCGGGCACGGAAAGGGCCGTGGCAAAGAAGGGGACAGGGGACCGGCCAAGACCCTCCCCTGGGGACCTGGGATGGCACGGGGGGGATAATGTGGGAGGGGGGGAAGGAGCGGGGCTCACCTGCTCTGCACCTCCTTGGCCAGGTTGTAGACGAGGCTGAGGCGGTGGCCCTGCTTCTCCCGCTTCTCCCGCAGCATCCTCTCCGCCAGCAGGAAATAGGTGGCCGTGATGTGGTTGTAGCGATCAGCTTCCAGCGCCCTGCACGAGCAAAGGGACTCCCATCAGCGCCCCACGGGCGCGCTGGGACCCCCAGAGCCCCTCGCAGGGGCTCCCAGCTCGGCATCCCGGCCCAGCACTCACTCCTGGATGGTGTCCCGATCCGCGATGTTCCCGCACACCATGGCCTGCAGGATGATCTCGTGCTCCTCCTGGGACACGCGCTTGTGGGAGGTGAGGGGCAGCAGGGAGCGGCTGGCGGGGGACGGGTCCACCCCCTGCAGCCACGAGTGGCCCTCGATCTGCTCCAGGGACGCTCGCTGCTTCGGGTCCCGCTGCAGCATCCTGGAGATGAGACTGGGGGGGGGAAAGGAGCGACGCTGCAGCCCTGCAGCAGCACCTGAACCCCAAACCAGGCAGCTTTACCCCCCCTTTTCCCACCTCAGCTGCCAGGCATCCCCGAGGGATGGGACACCATGGTGGGGTCTGGGGGTGGTGCTTACTCAGCGCACTGGGCCGAGACGTGCGGGGGGACGGTGTAGCGGCAGTCCATGATCATGGTGAGGGTCTCGCTGTCGTTGGCCTCCTGGAAGGGGGGGTGGCCGCACACCAGCATGTAGAGGATGACCCCCAGGCTCCAGATGTCTGCAAGAAGCAGCAGCAGTGCAGGTTGCACTCACTGGAGTGTGCTCCCAGGTCCTGCCCCGTGGACAGGGGGACGCCAGCCCCGTCATGGAGGGGAAAGACCATCCCCATCCCCACCTCCAAGCAGGTCTCAAGGGGCTTCACCAAAGCAGTCGAGGTCTTATCCCCTCGTCCAGGCAGGCACAGGGAAGCCACCCTGAGCTCTGTCCTGCCAGTCACCCACCCACCCCGCCGCCAGCACTGTCTCCTGTCATTGTTCAGCTTCCCAGTCTCCAGACACCACAACCATCCTGGCACTGGGCTGTGCTGCAAGAGACTACAGTGATGGGACAGGGACACAGCGCTGGTCTGGGATTTCCAGCTGTGTGGGCACCAGCTAGAGCGGGATTGGAGCAGGATTGCTGCCCTGTCCTGAGGGCAGGGATGGAGCCAGCAGCATCTTCACTGGTCCCTCCTGCCCAGAACACAAACTCCCGCAGAAGGCACATTTGGGATGCTGAGCACGCCCCGGGGCTCTCTGTTAATACCTTCAGCTGCTTAAGTGTTCGAAAATTTCTCATCTGCGTCGGTTTCCTCCCTTCATTTCCCTTTGCAGCGCCACCAGCTTATTTTCCTACCGCCTCCATAAGCTATCCCTGCTCTCAGCTCGGGATCCGCCTTTTCCTGAGCCAACACTGGGCTTTTTCCTTTAAGGGCTCGTGTTTTGCTTTGCTAAATCCTCCTGCCCTAATTCCAGCCGGCCAGCCAGCTCAGATCCTGCTTCCCTCCCGTGTGCCTGTGGTCACAGCAGAGCCTCTCCGAGCCCCCAGCCCAGCTCCCCGTGCCTCGGGACAGCCCCCCCAGCCCCCTGTGCCCCGGCCAGGGGAGGAAGGGTGCCGGGAGGCGCAGAGAGGAAGCGGTTTTCAGGGCGGGGATGGAGCAAAGGAAACTTTCGGAGCTCCCCCGCCCAAACAGCGGCATCCCAAGCAGATTTCCTTCCTGCCTCACCCCCCAAATAACCACTAGCGCCAGATTGCCGGCAGCCGCGTCCTCACTCTGCTCCTCCTGAGCCCCGGCGGATGCCACGATGGACTCGCAGCCCGCTCGGGCTTTTTGCCCTCCCTGCCACGAACCATCACCCTGCGGGATCTCAGCGGGTACTGGGATGGTCCCTGCAGGGATAACCCCCCGAGCCAGGGCAGGGCTGGGCAGCCCAGCACCCAGGGGACAGCCGTGCTCCCTGCAGGGACAGCAGGGTGCTCTCAGCACAAGGGGCCAAAAGCGAGGTGGTTCCTGGCCGGCAGGGCCACACTCCAGGCAAGGGACACGAGGCAGGCAGGTCCCCGGGGTGCCTCACCGCCCTTACCGACAGCCGGGGCGTCGTACTCGTCCCCCAGCAGGATCTCCGGCGCCGAGTAGGCCAGGGAGCCGCAGCTGGTGGTGAGCATCTTGCCGGGCTGGAAGCGGTTGCTGAAGCCAAAGTCGGTGAGCTTGACCACCCCCTGCTCCTGGAAGAAGACCACGTTCTCGGGCTTGAGGTCGCGGTGCACCACGTGCAGCTTGTGGCAGTAGGAGATGGCGTGGACGATCTGGGCGAAGTAGTGCTTGGCGCGCGGCTCGGCCAGGCCGCCCTCGTGCCGCATGATGTGGTCGAACATGTCCCCGCCGTCGCCCAGCTCCAGGATCAGGTAGAGCTTGGCGTGGGTGTCGATGACCTCGTAGAGGCGCACCACGTTGGGGTGCTGGACCAGCTTCATGCAGCGCACCTCCTGCAGGAGCTGCCCCGCCGCCTCCCCCGCCAGCTTGCTCTTGTCGATCACCTTGACGGCCACGCGCTGCCCGGTGAAGACGTGCCGGGCCAGCTTCACCACGGCGAAGTGGCCCTTGCCCAGCGTGCGCTCCAGGTCGTACAGCCCCGCGATCTTGCCCTCGCCGCAGCCCTGCGCCCCGGCCATGGCGGCGGCCTCGGGCACGGGGCGCTGTGGGATGGAGGAGATGCTGAGTGGTGTAGGGCGAGGGATGGAGCTCCCCTCAACACCAGCCCCCCCCCCCCCGGCACCACCGACACCAGGATGCCCAGGACATCAGAGTCCCCGGCACCTTGGGCATCAGGACCCCGGCAGCTTGGGTGCCCGGCACCACAGCTCTCCCAGTCCCCATCCTGGGATCCAGGCACTCGTCTGTGTCCACACCTCCAGTCCCCAGCACCCTGGATGTTCCAGTACTCCCACCTCTGCTCCTGAACGTCCCAGGGTACCCCATTCCCCCTGTCCAGGTTCCCAGCACCCTGAGCAGCCCAACACCCTCTCTTTCAGTTCCCAGCACCTTGTACATCCCCTCACACTCCCGCTACTTCCCAGCAACCCAGGGCATCCAGGTGTCCAGCACCACAGCACCCTGGGCACCCCAACCGCCCTGCCAACAGCCTCTCATCACCCTGAGCGCCCCCATACCCCACCTGCGTGTTCCCAGCACCCTGGGCACCCCAATATCGCCAGCCTCCAGGCGTCCAGCACCATGGGCACCCCAACGCCCTCACCTCCAGACCGCAGCACCCCGGGCACCCCGACGCCCCCCCGCAGCCCCCCGATACCCACCGCAGGCGCTGCCCCCCGGTGCGCCCCGATGGAGCCGCTCTCCCCGGGGCGCGGAGCTGCGGCCGCCGGGGCTGCGGTGCCCGGGCGCGCCCGCCCCGCTGACGTCAGGGCGGCTCCGGGATCGCGCCTTAAAGGGCCCGTCCGGGGCTGGCACCGGGACCGGGACTGGGACCGGGACCGAGACCGAGGGGATGCTCCTCGCACCTCCCGACGGGGAGACCCCCGAGCACCACCGCCTCCGAGCGGCCCGCTCGTCAGTGCCCGCTTGGGGTGGAGGGACTGCGGGGGTATTAGCGGGAACGGGGGCTGGTGATGAGCTCAGCGAGCCTGCCTGGATGCTTCCAGGAGGAGAGGGAGAGGGACAGCCGCCTGCCCGGGGTGTCTCCCGAGGGTCCCGCTGTGGGATGAGCTCCCGCTGCCCTCCTGCCCTTGGTGCCCGCTGACGGGCACCTCCGCTGTGCCCCCGACCCGCTCCATCGCCCGCTCCCACCCTCCCTGGAGCCGGGAGCACCGAGCCGGGGGCGCAGCCCCGGCCCCCCTTTCCCCCTCGCTGCGAGCCCTGTTTTCCTGGAAGCGGCCCGGCGAGCGGCCGGCAGCCTCATTTAGCTCGTTACTGGCCGCCGGGATGCGCACAAAGCAGATGTTGCTCCCGCAGATTAAAAAGCTCTCAGCGCGGCCGCCCTCATTCCCGCTAATGCCTTCCCAGAAGTCCTGGCCCGCGGCCCCGGCGGCTGCAAACAGGCCCTAATGAGCCCGGCCGAGAGCCCCGAGCGGGGGTGGCGTCAGCGGGGACCGGGGGTAGCGGGGATGGGGACCCGGAGCCCCCCGGGCTGGGGATGGAGGAGCTGCGGCTGGATGGGGCACTCGGCACCCACCAGGGCCTCGGGGATGGGAATGGGAAGGGCTGCCAAAGCTGCCTCTAACCCAAGATGAGCCTTCAGCCAGGCATGTGGGTGCAGGAGACATCGGGGTGCTGTGCTGGGGGGTCCTGACTGGGTGCACTGGGCACCCAGGTGGGTGATGAGTGTTTCCAGCAGCCAGAGGAGATGGGACACGGCAGTTGAGACTCTCACTGGTCCCACACTCGCTCAGCCTGTCCCTCAGATGCAGCAGGAATCAGATCATTCTGGGACAGGGTGTGTGGGGGGCAGAAGGGGCCTGCAAAGAGCCCCAGGGCTGGTGCTGCAGCCGGGAGTGGTGGCTCATGCTCTGCTGGGGACCTGCTGGGAGGCCTGGGGGGTCTTGGAGCAGCCTGGTGAGGGCAGAGCCTGGGCTGTCAGCTCCCTTGCTGGGAATGTCACAGCTCTCTGAACCCCTGTCATGTCTTATCCTCCCCATTTCCTTGCAGCACTGAAGTCACTTAAGGCCATGAGCATTCCCAAGAGGAGCCTGGCTCTGGGGAGCTGCTGTTTTTCCAAAGAAATTATGAATGAGAGACACAGTTAGCCTGGAGAATCTGCAGATGGCCAGTGGTCAGAAGCTGCAGGACACTGCTGGAGGCTCTGGACTATGGACACTTGCCAGGAGATATGGATAGGCAGCACATTCCCTTTGAAAACCAGTGGAGCTTGGCATGTTTATGGCCAGGAGCCCGCAGCCCTGATAATTATCTATTTGGGAATTAAGATATGCCCTCAAGTTGCAGCCTCGGTGCTCCTCAGGCGCGGCTGGAGAGGGAAGCAGTCTGGAAGGGCAGCTGGGATCACTTCCAAGACACTTGGGGGTCTGGGGGGAGTGGGGAGCTGTCCCTCCCACAGCTGTGTGGGGCGCAGAGCAGGAGTCCCCCCTCCCACGCATGGCCCCGCTGGCTGCTCTCCATCCAGACAAAGCCCGTTTTCCAGAGAATCCCACCTACCTGGTAGTTAGTGGAGTCATGTGGCTGCAGCACTTAATTAATAAAAAGCCGATATAAGTCCCAGGAAGCATGTGGGGCGGAGGACACTGAGGCAGAGAGCGGTGGCGGCGCTTCCAGCGGTGCAGCAGTGAAGGACAAGCCCCCTCTCCGCTCGGAGAGGTCAGTGCCTGCCGTGGGAAGGGGCCTGGGAGCGTGTGGGGTGTGACACCCACGGGTGTGGGGCTCCCTGAGGCGCAGAGGGGTCTCTCCCAGCAAACAGCTGGGTGGTTCCGTGGGCTGGGGAGCTCCCTGAACCGCTGCACAAAGGCTTGGTTGAGCCTCAGTCCATTCTCTGCTGCTCCCCCCTCTCTGTGGGGACACCACAAACGTGCCCACACGTGGGGTGCCCCACAACACGTGCTCTGGAGATCTCCCAGGTGTGTGGGGGCCCAAAAAAAGGTTCTGAAGCCCAAGGGAGCAGACAGCCCCAGGGTGGTGGCTGTTCTGGCAGGGGCTGCCCCTCGGTGACACGGAACTGCTCGGGGGGTGATGCCAGCGGGGCAGGCTGACAGCGGCCGGGCCCCTCTGTGCAGGCTGTCCCCCGGGAGCATGCTGACCGTGCTGCTGCTGTGCTGTGGGCTGCTGCAGGGGATCCAGGCCGTCCTGGAGCTCAGGACCGCCGAGCTCAGCTGCGGCCACGTGCAGAAGGCGAGCGGCGGGCTGGAGGGGGCGGACAGAGCCCGGCATACCAGCCTGCAGCGGAGAGCCCAGGAGGCGCCTGCAGAGCCGCAGGGTGAGTCCTGTGGCCCCCCTCTGCCCTCCAACGACCCCCCCAGCTGCTCGCTGAGCTGCCCAGCGCCCCAGAGCTGGAGTGGGGATCCCACACCCAGAGCCAGGCGCAGGGTGGTCCCCCCAAAGCGGCACAGCTTTTTCTAGCCCTGGCTGGTGAGAGCAGCCTGGCAGCCCACAGGAGCAGAACCAGAGCTGACCCCCCAGCAGCCTCCTCGTGCAGCCTCTCTGTATCTCACAGGACCTCTCCCCAGGCTGGGGTTTGAGCAGATGGCCCTGGAGGTACAAGAAGCCGACGGTGACCTCGTGAGGAGAGGTGGCGCGCTGGAACCACAGGTAACCCTGAGCTTTCTCACAGACACCTCAAAGAGCGGGAAAGCATCAGGCCACAGCAGCCTTCTCTGTGCCCCTGGGGCCAGGGGAAGTTTGGAGCCCAACAAGGGGCTACAGCACTCAGGGGAGGGTGGTGCGAGCCTGTGCTCCTGAAATCCATTTATTTAACCTCACGTGCAGCCCAGGAAGCCTCTGCAGGGCAGGAGCTCACCGGGCAGGGCCATGTTCTGCCTGGCTCAGCCCTCAGTCCCTCTGTTTGGGCAGAAGGCACAGCACCCTTCGCTGAAGTCCAGGCTGTGCTTCAAAAATAAGTGTGTGCAGAAAGGCCTTGAGATGCCATGGATGAGGCAGTGCACCCTGCAGAGGGACCAGGGGGCTCAGCGGTGATTTCCAACGGGCTGAGCTTGCAGTTGAGCACGACTGCGAACTGCTGGCAGTGGCGGGTTTCAGCAGCCGCTCCTGGCTCTCTCCCACGCAGTTCTCTATTGGTGCAGTGGTCCAGCACCAACTCTCCCCCCGCCGTTCCTCCTCTCTCTCCCTTCCAGCCCTCCTCCACGGAGCTGCAGGCTGCGGGCCGTGAGGAGCGCTCCCCCCGCCGCTGCGTCCGCCTGCTGGAGTCCTGCCTGGGCCACCAGGTGCCCTGCTGCGACCCCTGCGCCACCTGCTACTGCCGCTTCTTCAACGCCTTCTGCTACTGCAGGAAAATCAGCACCAACTTCCCGTGCGGCAAGAACTAGGGCTGCTCCCTGCCCACGCGTGCGCCTCCCCCTCCGCAGCTCCAATAAACCAGCCCTTCGCAAACGCCACTGCTGGGTGGGGACGGTGTGCTGTGTCCGCTGGGGGATCGTGGGGGAGTGGGGCGGTCGCCAAGGGAAGGGTGCCTGCACACACGCTGTGCACGCAGCCAGCAGGCCAGGGCGCCTCCACGTCGCACGAAATGTGCCTTTCCCGGCTGGGTAAGAGGTGTCTCAGCAGCAGGGGTGCCGCAGGTGATGTCTTGGTCACGCCGCTGTCACCCACAAAATCGGGTTTGCTCCCCGGTGTGCAACGAGCCGGTAATGACACACTCGAGGGAGACACTGGGGTTATTGATTCCAGGGGCTATTCCACAAATCCAGCACGTCCCACTGGACTTGCCGTGTTGCTGTTCACACACCAAGTTCGGAGTCAGTAAATTCCCAAGCACAGCCCCTCTACTGGGTTGATTAGTGATTTCCATACAAATCGCATAACCCAGGTAACTTCTACTCTTGCTCAGGGCAAGGGTCTTCAACTGGGCAGGGTCTCTTTTGACCTGCAGGCGTGATTTTTTGTTATTATAACGAAGATAGTTCAGCTCTAGGATACATGGGCCCAGAGTATTTTGCCAAGCTAGCGATGTATCCACAGACAGACATCAGCACCTCCAAAGCCTGTCAGCTCCAGGACGTTCCACAGACAGACATCAACATCTTGATCTCCTGCACCCCTAAAGCCTGTTGGCTCCAGGATGTTCCCGAGCAAGGGGGTGCCAGTCCCACTGATCACCCCTCCTTCCCCGCTCATTAGGCTTGGCGGTACACGAGGGTCTCACACCAAGGAACACCCCTGACTCGGGACAATCCTAACACACCCCACACTCGGCGGCACCCCCGCTTTAAACGCGGTTATTTATTTAATTTATCCCCCGGGGCCGGTCCCGCCGACACCTCCTTCCATTCCCGCCCCCCCCCATCCCCTCAGGCGGCTCGCGCCCCGCAATGGCTGCCGGGAAGGGGCCGCCGCCACGTGACGGGGCGCGCGGGTCACGTGAGGCGGCAGCGGCGGCGGCAGCGGCAGCGCTCCCGGCCCGGCCCCGCCGCCATGTCGTGCTTCCCGGAGCTCTACTTCAACGTGGACAACGGCTACCTGGAGGGGCTGGTGCGCGGCTTCAAGGCGGGCGTGCTCCGGCAAGGCGACTACGTCAACCTGGTGCAGTGCGAGAGCCTGGAGGGTGAGTGGCGGGGACGGGGGGCCGAGGCTTGCGGGAACACTCCCTCCTCCCCCCCCCCCCCCCCCCCCCCCCCCCTCCCCCCCGGTATCCTGAGGGGAAGGTCCGGGCGGGGGGCTGTGGGGAGGCGGTGAGGGGCTGTGGGGAGGCCAGGGGCCGCCTGAGAGCGGCGGAAAGAGCCGGCAGCGGCCCTGTCCCCTCTTCCTCCCATGGCTTCCTCGGTGTCCCGGCCCCCGCCGCCTCAGCTGCCTCAGTGTCCCGGTCACCGCTGCCGTGTGACTGCCCAGCGGACACAGCACCTTGAGGGAGCTTGGGCTCCCCGTGCTTCCTTGGGGTGGCTGTGTAGCTGTGGTTGTTGGGAGCCTGGTGGGTTTTGCCGGCCATTGCTGGTGAGGGCTGGTTTTGTGCCTGCGCTCCCTAAATGGCAGGAAGCCTTTTTAGGGCCAGAAGTAAGTTTATGGGGGTAATCCAACAATCCCTGATACCCATGATTAGTTTTCAAGGGGGATCAGGTCGCCTAGGGAAGTACCTGCTGTTATTGGAGGATCACCAATGGAAAAAATCCAGTGCCCTGAGCATTTTTCACTCAGAAGTGTCTACAGCCTGGATCAAAAATCACAAAGAGTAAAACCAGGTCTCTCTTGAAGCAGGCTAGAAATACACGTGTCCAGAGATTATTCTTTCTTCTAAAACTATTTGTTAAGCATCAGGTTTATACTGACAGTCATTGCTGAGCGGTTAATTAACCCTGAGTATGTAGATGGATCCCTGACCAGTTGAACCCTGGATGCAGGTTACCTGGAGCTGCTCACTCCAGGTGACAGCAGAATGGGAGCAGAGTGCTGTGATGTGTCTCAGCCTCTGCTTAAGAATTCCCAAGCTGTTTTTACATAGGAGAGCAGCTCCTTTTCAACTTCTCTTTGCTTGCAGCGCTCGCTGCCATTCCTGCTCTGGAGCCCAGGGCCTGGAGGAGGGCAGTGGGAGTAACTTCTGCTCTCTGGGTAGTCACGAGTGTCATGGTGCCCTGAACTGTGACTGTGTCCCTTCCCTGCAGTTAACTTCCCCTTTGGAGTCTTTCTGTGCTGAGAACTTTTTTTTTTTTTCCCCTCCCTTCCTCACTTTCTGAACCGAGTTGGTTAAACCGAGTTCTCCCTCAGGGTGGTGTTTGCTGCATTTGGAATGAGTCAGGTTGGAGTTCCCGTATGTTTGCCACGGTGTCATTGGTGTCCTGCCCCTGACAGCTCCTGCTGTGCTCCTTGTCACGCTTCCTGCAGAACCTGAAGGCTCTTCCAAGTTCACTGTCAGGCTTGTTCCTCTTCCACCTGGTTTTCTGTGTCCCTGCCCGCTGTGCTTTTGCAGAGGTGTTTTCCTTCAAAGGAGTGTTGCTCTTGATCACTCACTCACATGGGGCTGTGGTCAGACCATTTCTTTCCTCTGTCCCTTCAGTTGGGATTTTCCCATTCAGTTCTTGTTTTCTGGGCTCCACAGACTTCTGACATGCATAATTCCTCTCCCAGGTACTTGTCTGCACTAAATCTTGGCAGTGGCTGGCGTGTTAGCAGCCAAAATAAGTACCGGGACAGAAAATACTCAGGCATTGTTCTCTACTCTCTATTTTGGCTTTTCTCCGCCTCTTATATGCAAGTCTGGCTCTGCAGTTTATCCTAATCCTGGAGTGAGTGATCCTTGGCCATGGAGAGATCCTGAAGGAGCAAGGCTGCTGTGGGTCTGGCCCTGGGAATTTGGTATCTGGCACCTTGCTGCCACTGGCATTGCCTGGAGGATGCTGTGCTTCCAGGCCTCACATGCTGCTCCCTCTCACGCGCTTGGATCAGTCTGGAGGCACAGAGGGATTGACTTCTCTGCTGTAGGGCTTGGGCTGGCAGCTCATGCTGCTGGAAGGAGGAAGTCACGCTTTTTTGTGCTCCCGTGTTGTCTCTGCTTGTCTGGTCACAAAATAACCTGATTTAAGCTCTTGCCCCTTGTCGAGTCAGGAATAGCCCAGTGGGCTGTCTGTGGTCAGGCTCCTGAGCAGAAAAACGTGTCCAGGATTGAGGGGGGCAGTGAGAGCTGGTTTAGCTTAAGCTTTCTCGTAAGCCCTGCAGCAATAACATGTTAATCCCTTCACTGAGCTCCAAAAGTCCAGGTGCTTTGGTGGTTTCTCAGCCAGAGGCCCTGTGCTGTTCACCTGTGCTGGGATCTCCTGGAAGCCGCCCGGCCCTCCCTGTCGTATCCAGTTCCTGCTTCTGACACAAGGTGTCAGTGAAGGACCTGGAGCCGCCTCGCTCAGCCCCAGTGCTGTGAGCGTGGATCTGTGCTGGAGTGGAATCTGGGGCAGAGAGACTTACAAGTCACCCAGATTTCTGCTGTCAGAAGGTTGGTGAGTCATCTCCATCTCCTAAAGCTGCGGTAGGCTGTTAGAGGTCTGGTATCCTCTCTGGAGAGTGAAAATCTGTTGATGCAGTTGGACAGCGGTGCCACTTTTGAGCAGCAGAGTTCAGTCGGGGTCTGGAATTTGGTTGTGGGCTGGCTTTAATGGTGATCTGCAGTCCTCCTTACTGCAAAATGCATGTGGAGCCCAAGAAATGCACAAAAACATCCTGTTTAGAGCCAGGAAAGTCTTTACCTTCAGATCAGTGATCATGAACCTCCTGTTGCTAATAACTCCTCTTGCTTCCACAGCAGCAGTGTAGATAACTGTTTTCTTACTGGCCTGCCAGTGTTGTAGAGGTGATTGGTGTGGTGAAATCCAGCTTCTAGCTGGGTGACAAAGCTGCCAAGTGGCCTGCTGAGGAGTGGCAGGGACTTGGTTCAAGCCTGGGGGCCTCTGTTAGGAGAGGTTTTCCAGAGGCTGCGTGTGTCGAACACCACGGCTCTGGGGGTGCTTGTGCCTCTGTCCATGCGGTTGGCTCAGCACGCCCTGTGGAAACAGTGGGGTGAATGTGGAGGAGTGGAATCTGCCCATGGAGTGTGTCCTCTCAGCACCAGGCTGAGTGCAGTGTGTGCTTCTGTTTTCGCTGTCCCAAGAGGTTGTGCTACTCTTCTCTTTTCCATTTTATCACTCTGGGCCTGGAATTTGGACCCCAAAAAGGCTGGAGCTGGTCTTCCCTTTCAGCATAAGCACATGGGCAGCATGGCCTCTCCTGTGCAGAGAAGTTGCGTTGCTGCCAGAGCTCCAGACTCCTCCAAGAGTGCTTTGGGTGGAGCTCACGGTGTTCTCACAGGTGTAGGGGGAAGGGCACAGATCCTTTCCTGGTCTACCAAACATGGAGAGGCCCCTTGGTGGTCCTGAAGTGTGGCTGTGCTTGGGTCAATCTGGAGCTCTGCGAGTGGTTCAGTCTGAACTCGGGGGGTGTGGTGGGGACCTTTCATCCTCACCCACACGATGAGGACACTCTTCTGTCTCCTGCCATGTGTAGGAGCCCTGTGTGAAAAGCTGACCCTTGCGTGCTGGGACTGCGCAGGAGGACTGTCCCCTGTCCCCAAGAGCTTTGTCCTGCCAGCTGAGGCAGAGTGTATGGGCACAGTGAGACCCGAGGAGGGCACAGACCATTCCTGTCCTGTGAATGCTGTGCTGCTGATCTTGGTGCTTTGTCCTGCATCCTCTGGTGTAACCACTGGCTGTGGCTGGTTCAGCAACTGTCCTGCTAAAACAAGCTCCGGGAAAACATTTCTTATTGGAAGAAAGATAGGCTGCTAGATCAGGGTGGCAAACAAACACTGTGGTCCCTGGCTTCCTGCAGGGTTCAGCGGAGGCTCTTTGCTGTTTGTTCTGGCCTCCTTTCCTGTGCAGAGACCTACTCCAGAGCCTCTCCTAGCTAAACTT